CCACTGATGAGAAGACAGTAGAGAGTAAGCAGATTAATGAAGAAAAAGTGGAGAAAGTGGAACAAGAAGAAGAAAAGATATATGTGCCACCACCGCTTAAACCTTATGTTCCACCAGTGCCTTTTCCGCAGAGACTCCATATGACCAAGCAAGATAGGTTGTTTGAGAAATTTTTGAAAATTTTTAGGCAATTACATATTAACATTCCTTTTGCAGATGCTTTAGCTCAGATTCCGGCTTATGGGAAGTTCTTGAAGGAGATCATCTCCAATCGAAGAAAAGTGAAAGACTTTGAGACAATAGCATTATCTGAGGAGTGTAGTGCTGTCATACAGAGAAAGTTGCCTCCAAAATTGAGTGATCCAGGGAGTTTCTCTATTCCTATCTCTATGGGTGATGTTTGCTTTGATAAAGCTTTATGTGATTTAGGTGCTAGTGTTTCATTGATGCCTTTATCTGTTTGTAGAAAGCTTGGGTTGAAATATTTGAAACCAACTAACATCACTTTGCAGTTAGCTGATAGATCCATAACTCATCCGAAAGGGATTTTAGAAAATGTCTTTGGTAAAAGTGAAGAAATTTTATATCCTGTTGATTTTGTTGTGTTAGATATGGAAGAAGATGCTAATGTGCCAATTATTTTAGGTCGACCATTTCTAGCCACAATTGGTTTGTTATAGATGTTAAAAGGGGAGTTTAAAATTTCATATTGGAGAAGAATGTGGAGTTCACTTTTTCGAAAATTACAAATGCCCTACATTTACTCATCATGTGTTTAGAGTAGATTCGTTAAGGAGCCGATAAAAATGATGTGTTTATTGCTAATTTTAATGACCCTCCGACAAGTGTATCGGTGATGTAGGTGCATTGGAGCCAAAAGAAGAATGATGTATCAAAGGGGTTCCCACTCTTTGATTGAGCGTCCACCTGATTGATCAGCTATATAGTCTGGCTCATGACTTTAAAGAAGCGCTTATTGGGAGGCAACCCAATTATTTCTTTTGCTTTATTTTTCTTTTTCTTTCATTAATAAGTTGGTGGTTAAGTTTTTTTTCCTGATTATCTGGAGATCTTTGATTTCTGGATTTTCGTGGTTTTTCTTAATCATCTGTTTTTAGGTTTGTTTTTCTAATTTATTTTAGTTTGCAATTAGGTTTGTTGGAAGGGTGGAACTCTAGTGCTGAAAATGAAACATCCAAAATTCTGAAGGAGTGGTCGTGTGCTTGGATGGTAGTTGCAACAATTTATTCAACAATTCCGGTCATCCGCTTCACATTCCCAAGGTTGTGTCGTTTCTTTTCATTCTTTTTATTTTTGTCTTTTCTTTTCTTTACACTTGGTTGTTTGTCTTTTGTGTTTTATACATTGAGGGCAATGTATACTTTAAGTGTGGGGGAGAGGAATGCGTTTTGTGTTTATCTTTCTTAAATAAAAAACCCATAAAAATTGAAAAATTTTGAAAATCCAAAAAGGCCTATGATGAAGTTGGTTTGATTATCTATAACATGTAAGAATTAGACTATTTTGAATTGTATTGCTTAACTTATGTATTTCTATATTGCTTTGAATACCCTGCTTTTTATGCACTTAGTCGTGACTGTGGGATAAGCCTAAAGTGAGATATAGTTGCATAAGTTTGATGTAGATATGCCATGAAGTTGTTTGATTCAGTCATACTTATATGATTTGTATGTGGAACCCATTATGTTGTGAAGGAAGAGCAAAGCATTAACCCAATATCAGCCTTAAAAAACCTTATTGCTTTGACACTTTGTGTTAAGTAAGTTTGGGGGAGGGGTGTTGGCGGATGCTTCTGAGGTTAGGTAAATTTTAATGAGGGAGAAAAGGAAGAGCATTCAATGTTGATGCTAGCCCCTTGAGAGGTGAGGAATTGGCAACCTGAGCGGAGAGTCCTCAGGCCCGGTGAGGAAAATAGATGTATAGACTGGCCTAAGTTGCTGAGCCACTATGTATAGGAGTGGAAAAATGCTCTGGGTAGTGGCCTGAGTTGGAAAGAGTCCTGAAGAAAAGCCGCATGGACCGAAGAATGGGTTACGAGGGGGAATATGTTGTCTGTGAGATAAGTCCTTCTACTTCATAGCATGTCTGGTGGTCCATTGCATTGAAATATGATATGAAATGTGAGTCTGTTGTTAAAGTAAAATGGCATATTTGCAGTAGAGCTTTTGTTTTCTATGTTAAATGTAAAGTGATGTCCCTAAGAAACGAAGCACACACACACAAGCGTGGGGGCTAAAAGTAGCTATGGTTTGCATTGTTCGGTAGTCCATACTAGAGGTAGTCGAAATCTTTGTGTTATATGATGTGATTGAATCTCTGAGGCCGCCAAATTAAATAATTAAATGCTTTTGTTTGTTTTAATTTTTTGGGATTGCTTGAGGACAAGCAATAATTCAAGTTTGGGGGTATTTGATATGCTTATATTTTACCTATTTATTATATCCCTAATTTGTGATTTTTGCAATATATTTTGAGTACAAATATGCTATTTATGTGATTTTATCTTTAATTGTAGGAATTGTACTCAAATGACGAATTGTTGAAGTTTTGAGCTAAAATCGAATTAAAAGCAACTCAATGGGAAAGAATTGAAGATTGAAGCAATTGATGGGGAGGAAATTAATGAGTTTAGAGAATTGGAGGGCCAATGATGCAATTTTGGATTGGTTAATTAATTTTTGGAAAATTGGCCGAAGGTTACGTTGGTTATGCGGCCGATTTGGGATTGGAATTGGATAAGAATTTTAAACCCGATATTAATTGGGAAACAAGTTTTCTTGTTCTTCAAGGAGTAGGGTTTAGCCGGAAGCCTATAAAAGGGGGATTAGAGATTTATTTTTACAACAGAACTGAACCGAAAACTGACCGAAACCCTACGGTTAAAACACCATCACCGCCGCTTTGCTTCCATAACCACCACGCACCACCAAACTCCCAACTCCTTCACCGGAGCTCCACCTTCTTCCTCTTCTCCACATCCATAACCACCTCTGCTCCTCCACCGAAACCGAGACCAGCCGGCAGCATCATCTTTTCTCCATCCTTCACGCAGCCACCATCCTCGCGCACACCAGCCCTTCTTCACCTCACCGCTGCTCCACCTTCATCAACAACTTCTGCTCCATTGCCTTCACACACACAGCAGCAGCGAAGCTCCATCAACTTCCCGGTCACGCCGCACCACCGTAGCAGCCGGCCACCACCTTCACCTCCAAAGCACCTCACCTTAATCATCATCTTCTCCACCTCTCACCTCTCTTCGTCATCATCATCACCGAAGCCATCATCCAAGCACCACCTTGCTGTCCACGAAGCAACAGCAGCACCACCATTCTTCACCACCAACGCAACCAAGCAACAGCCACCTCTGCCTCTTCACCGCCGAGACCGCACCACCGAAGCAACCGAGCACCACCATTCGCGCAGCAGCAGCTTCTCATCTTCAATCCACACGCAGCACCGGCAAAGCTAAACAACCGAGGGGAGTTTTTGGCGGGATTTTTGGCTTCATCCGGTTTTCAAGTTTTAATTTATTTAATTTATTAATTTTTATTATGTCTCTAAATATTATTGAATTATTTTTAATAGTGTTTAGTGGCTAAATTATTTTAATCTAGGGCTTGGGTGTAGCCACCGAATTTATTTGGTTTATTTGGTTTATTATTATTTGACTTTTCCATTAATTAATATTTGTTATTCTTGTTTTAATTCGTGTAAGTAATTGGCCACTATTTGCATGTCTGAAGATATTAATCGAAGTAGCGAGAGTGGAAGATTAATATTAGTTCGTAGGAATAATAAACTTAGGTTATAAGCTACGAGAGTAAGATTATAACCTTTGCAATATTTGATTCTTAATGGTCTTAATGTGCTTTTGTTAATTCCTATAGTCACGAGAGTAGTCATAGGGTTAATCTAAGTAAGAGAATTATAACACGAGTGTATAGTTCTTAATTAGGTGAATCGTTGTGAGATTAATGGAAGTTAAAAGTTAGATATTTGTGAATTGAACTAACCTAAATATTCGGTAGGTGAACCCAATGTCCTAGGTTTTCTTTGTCTGATTATTTGAATTAATATTATTTGCTTTTATTTTATTTTAGGTTTAAATTTTATAAATCTGAGATCATTATTTATCTAAATAATAATAGGAGTAATTTATACCTGGTAATTAGTATTCCTTCTCTGTGGGATCGACCCTGCTTGCTACTTTACTACTAGTAATTGTATTAAGTAGGTAATTATTATTTGACTAGTGTGACGACGGCTTGTCAGTCTCCGTGTAAGGTAGATCATAAGAATTGTAAAAATATAGTAATTAATAGAGTTGTCCCGGAATTTTTAGTAAATCTTGTGAGACAGCCTCTTAGCTAAATTTTTTAAAATAGAGTTATCATAGATTTTAAAGTAATCTTTTTGAGGCCATCTCTTACATAGATAGTTTCAAAGTGCAACCGTCATGGACTTTTAGAAAATCTTAATACAACATACTCTTTAATGGGATAAGTTTTAAGCATTGTCCACTTACCTTTTTTAAAACTAATAAAATTGGAGGTGCCCACCAGGTACTGACTGAATAGATTTGCTCAAAAAAGAAAAAAATTGAATAGTAACAATATTTAGTTTTCTGGTGCCATATAGTAACATTTTAACTTTTGGTACCAAACAAATATATTTAGTAAGCAACTTTGGGGTACTTTTTGTGTAGTTAATTGAAACAAATTCTTGCATGGACACAAATACTCTTCGATCAATTAACGTGACAAAATATTTGACCGTTAGTTTTTTACCGAAACCCTGACAGAAAACTAAATGGTAACACTATTTATGTTTCTGGTTCTATATAGTAGTGTTTTAAAGTTTTGGTACCGCACGAATATAGAGCAACTTTATGGTACTTTATGTGTAATTAATTGTCTTTTTTTTTCAAAAAAAAAAATAAATCTTTTTAAAACTTTAAATAGAATTTTATTAGTGGGCCGAGAGTGAAAGGTCCTAGTTCACCTTATCCCTTTCGCATGATCAGATAAAAATCTTCTTGTGTCAACACAATTGTTTTAAAAATTTTAAAAAAGTTTCCTTCTTTGTTGAGGAAAACTGAAAAATGGCGGAAACTAATACTGCGAAGAAACACTTTGTATTGGTTCACGGAGCTTGCCACGGCGCGTGGTGTTGGTACAGGGTGGTGGTTTTGCTGGAGAAACACGGCCACAAAGTCACCGCCGTGGATTTAGCCGCTTGTGGCCGGGACGTCGACAGCCGCCTGGAAGATTTCCAGACGATTGACGACTACCATAAGCCGCTTTACTCTTTCTTGGAAGGTTTGCCGGCCGACGGAGGCGAGGATAAGGTTATTCTGGTCGGCCACAGCTATGGTTGCTATGCGGTTTCCTCCGCCATGGAAAGGTTCCCGGAGAAAATCAGTTGGGGTGTCTTTGTTTCCGGGTACATGGTTGGTCCTGAGTTGAGTATCGAAAAGTTTACCTTCAAGGTAAATTATTCTTTTTTTCTGTCTTTTTTTTTCTTTACCTAAAATACTTACGCATATAATCGATCATGATTAATCTTTTGTACTCTGTTGCTCTCATGTTTAATTAAGTCAATAAACATAAGAAGCTAAATTCGTTTCAAAATCAAAGATTAAAACTAATTGTGTTTGTTAAACTAATGGTACTATTATTATTTACGGGAATGCAGCTTACAGGACAAGACAATTTAATGGATACGGAATTGAAAACCGTAGAAGTGAATGGAAAGACCCAAACTCATATGACTTCCGGAAAAAGGTTCTTAGCTGCCCATTATTACCAAAATTCACCGCCCGAGGTAAAAACACAACATCTTTCTATGCATGTATCTTTTGTGAATGGATTATATGTGTGCATGGTTTGTATAACAATTTGGTTTGGAATGTTACGGTTACAAATACAAATAAAATTCCAAACCAACGTTCATCTCTTTCCCCAAGATTAGACACTCTAATTTATTCTCTGGCTATCAACAAAAGAGAGAATCTGGTTGGTGTGTTTGTTATCCACGAAATGTATTAATGTAATTTTCTAAGTTTCGGTTGAGGTAAAAATATTATCTGGTGACTAAGTCATGCCTTCACTCTGTTTCTTTATTTTTCTAACATTTTGTCTAAGGTTTCTTCGAATAAAGTAAATACTATCATTTTCTATAATCTCGTAACAGGATCTACAACTTGCATCTTCGTTACTCCGGCCAATGAGAAGGTTCATGGGCGAGGATGAGATAAAGAAACCACTGTTGGTTACAAAGGAGAAATTCGGATCAGTTCGACGTGCATACATCATTGGACACGCAGTGGAGGAGACAAAAGCGAATCAAAGGTGGAATGTCGAAAAGAATCCGCCAGATTTCGCTACAGAAATACAAGGAGCAGATCATATGATCATGTTTTCTAAACCTCAAGAACTTTGCGACATTTTACTTGAGATAGCTCGGTGAGAAAATATATACTCTCTACGTTCCAAAATTATTGTCTAGTTTAGATTTTCAATTTTGATATTGTACTAAAATTAAAAATCCATACCGAACCATCAGACGGAGAAAATATACACTACCTAGTCTTCAGTTAGCTATATATATTATGGAAATTAGATTTATGGATTGTTAATCATGACCCTCTCAATTTTATTTTTATCCCTACGAATTTCAAATTTACAAGAGGGAAATAAGCGTAAGACCCTGAAATAGGGATTATCAATAACAGCAGATTATTGTATGAACCAAAAAAGACTGAATAGCATGAACCAGAGCTTGTAGGGTTATAACCAAGAGACCAGTACTTGAACTCTGAAGTTATTCTTAGCTTTCAGAGATTATTGACAGAGAAGAAACTGAAAGATTTCATCAACGAGAAAACAACAAAGAAAAATGCTGGAATGCATTGCAGTATAAACAATAGATCCACTGATCTTTCCAACAACAATCATTCAGTTTCAGACAATGACTAATTCGGATACAAATTGTAGCTCCTCACAAAGGTAAACCCAACCAGTGAAAGTGTTCCAAGAGTCCTGAAAACATAAGCCAGTTCTTAATGAAAATCAGAAGTTTAGCCCGTTACTTGGTGCATTGAGCCTCATACATTTATACTAATCGAAAAAAGTTTGGATTGGACAGCTACAATATGAAAAACTTTCTTTGGTGCAATGAAAACAGCCACCGCCTAAAGTCCTAAACAAACAAACACTTGATAAGCGAAAACTCTAGATGAAATCTGTGTTCCACATGAAATGAAATGTATAACAATATGATTAGTGTCAATTGATCGATTGCTTACTTTGAATTTTACATCACAAAGCCTTGTTTGATATGTTCCTAATTTCCAACTGCTACCGTCTACATCAACTAAGATCTTTCAATCCTACACTTGATTTAATAGCATGCAGATGCAGTCTTAAGTATCACCCAGGACTTCTCATTGGGAGCAAATCATGAGTATGGATTAAGAACCGTAATTTGTAGCTATAGCTGTTATTGGTACACATTACACAGGAAATTAAGGTATATTCTTTTTGTTTTCTTTTTTTTGGTTTCGTATAATGTCCGGCAATAGAACTGGAAAATACTGCCATTCACAGTTCACACCATGCAAAGACAAATTTAGAAACATCAATACAGGGGATCCACTGGTAGAGAAAACTAAAACCAAAACAATCTGAAGCAACAATCAATCAATGAAGTGCAGCAAACCTACAAGATGGCATTATTACTGTGGGATTGCTCGCTGAATATATATCACTATCGAATTCATCCTAGTTGTTGAATAGAGAGAGCATCCACAATTTTAACAATTAACAGATTGATAACCCTATAATAAACCGAAATTCAACAGCAGGGCACTGCAATTAAGGAACAAAAAGAGTTATACCCATTTTGCTTTAAGAATCATGAAATCTGAACAGAAGATTCACCATGTTGAGCAGCAACTCGATCCTGTTCAGCCCAGAAAGCATGAACCGCTAGCCAGACATGTTTGACGTCTAAATCAAGATGATCAACGACTATGTTTGCAGGCAAGCTTTCCGTGCAATACTTTGTGTCAGGGCAACGCACATCGGCCGGAATTACTTGCTTAGCTTCATTCTTAACCACGCTGTTAACATGATTCTTGATACATACCTTGCAGAAATTATGTCCACACTTAACAGATCGCAGCATGTTTTCAGTTAGTCGTACCGCACCACAGATTACACAATCAGACCAAATTGCCTCAGTTTCTTTGTTATGGAGATTATCATCACCCGGACCATCATTCGTGCTGGAGACACCTGATGAGAAGATTGAAGTTTTTTAGACAAATGAAGCATTCAATTTTTAGAACCAGAAGATTAAACACCGTAATAAACAAAAAAAAAAAAAAACCCCATAAAACCTCGACGTCGTCCAGAAATCAAAAACAAAGCAAGAAAAATCCAGGGAACAGAAATCAAAATTATTAGACTAGAAGACAATCCAAGGAACAATTTTTCGTGGTAACTTGGAAAATCAAAAATTCCCAGAAGAACTTGTATTTAATTATGCAAAGAAGGCGCTCCAAAAAGAGTAGAGATTATTGAGTTATTACCATCATTGCTTGTAGGAGATGTATTCTCAACTCTGGCCGGCGCCGGCTGGAATTCCACCTGGACTTTATTTCCAGAATCATCAAGAAAATAAAGGGGCTTCTTCAAATACCCATCGGGAATAACCGGAATTGCTTCCGTCCCTTTGAACTTCGAGGGATCGTATGCATTACCCATTTTTCTTGAAAGAAAGATTTGCTTTCTTTTTACCTCTGGTGGTTTGATTTGGTTCAGTCCAAATGAATTTACACAATCATCAAGAGTTTTTTGTAATAGGAATTGTAATTGATTGTAAATTGTGATTCCACAAAAACTCTTAATAGGTTTTCGGTGAATGACTACTAAATCATGTCACGTTCACATTAGCATGCAAGACTTCTAAACATACACATCAGTCCTTTAATTTTAATGAAAACCAGAAACAGTCCTTAGGTTGTTCATTGAATCAGTAGCTCAAAGTCTAATAGTTTGGACTAGCAGTAAGTAATTAAATTGTAAGAAGTAATTAAATTATAATTTAAAAAATAATGTAAAAAAAAAGCAACCAAACAGAAGAGTGGCTCAAAGTCTAATAAAACAAAGTTTGGACTAGTGGTAAGAAGTAATTAGATTGTGTCATAGTGAGTGTCGCAGTAAAGTGTCACAAAGGATCCTAGGCCGATGCGAACAATATCTACTTTTTGTATATAATTCCATACCTATAGTACAAATTGAAGGTCTGCTTCAATTCACAAGTAGTGACAGAGATCTTACTTCTGTGTTTACTGTTTAGGCCAACTTTTGTTTCAACCTTTCACAGGTATATATCTACAAAAAAAGAACTACTATTGGTAGTCTAAAAGAGGTATCTTTATATGTTTCTTTCCACATTTGCAGCATTTTCAATATGTGCTAATAAGGATCCAGTGTGGTTTTTCACTTGGTTGCTTCAAGAAGTCCAGAACTTCAAACAATTTATGTACTTCTGGACCAGTTGCACGGTCCACGACTTGTTTGTGACTTCCGATTCAGAGCCTAAAATATCCTTATGAAATCTCCTCCATTTGCCACAACTTCAAGTTACTTTGGATTTTGGACTTGGAATCTTTCATGGTAATTAATTTTCCTGTAGAAATAGGACTAATGATTCAATTGAGATGTTTATTATCAGTGGTTATATGCAATCTATTCCACCATCAATATCCATCTTGCGGAGACTTGAATCGTTGGGTGTGAAGGGATTGTGAAAAGTCTCCTTACCAAAAACTGTTTAGAATGAAATGGCACCTTCATGTGAATAATCATGTCATTTCAGCTTTGATGAAGGGGTAGGAAGTTCTTTTCATTTGAGCTTAAATATTGGGCATAAGGAGTAAGATCCCAAGTTCCAACAGTTAAGTACTCATTAGTAACAGTTTAAACATTTTCTGACAATTGTATGCGACACCATATAAGAATAATAATAATAATAATAATAATAATAATAATAAGAGAAATTCTAGAGTCTAGTTGTTCTTTTTGGACTGAATCATACAGTTAAAATTTAGCCAATCAAAATTGATGGCCTAACATGTTACATGGGGTGAGAAATATTGTGTGAAGACAGAAGATGTGTGAAGCGGCCGGCATAAATCAGAAGCCGTAAAACTGATGATCAATTAGGGTGTACAATGACTGTCTTAAATAATACAACAAGACCGTAAAACGATAACTATGAACCGTAAAATACAACATGATTATTTACATCCGTATTACCCCCCTCAAGTTGGAGCATGGGGATTCCGAATGCCCAACTTGGATTTAAAAAACTCAAAACTCTGCTTTTCCAAAGCTTTGGTGAAGATATCAACAAGCTACACACGAGTAGGCACATAACTTGAAAGAATAGTGTCGGCAAGAATCTTATGACGAATGAAATGACAATCAACCTCAATGTGTTTGGTGTGTTCATGAAACACAGGATTAGCCGCAATATGTAACGCGGCCTGACTATCAAAATATAAACGGACGGGCTTAGAATGAGGAACACCAAGAGATAAAAGAAGTGTCTTCAACCATTTCAACTCACAAATGGTGGAGGCCATGGAACGATACTCAGCCTCGGCCGAAGAACGAGCAACCGTCTGTTATTTCTTAGTCTTCCAGGAGATAGGAGAAAGGCCAAGTTGAATGAACCAACCCGTAAGAGACCGCTGAGTCAATGGGCAAGTGGCCCAATCAGAATCACACCAGGCAGACAGCTGCAAATTACAATTAGCAGGTAGAAAAACACCCTGACCAGGTGTACTCTTCAAATAACGAACAGCGCGAAGAGCAGCATCCCAATGAGCCTACAAAGGCTTCTGCATAAATTGAGACAAGGTATGCACAAAATAAGACGACTCAGGCTGAGTAACGGCCAGATAAATCAAACGGCCAACCAAGCAATGATACTGCGGAGGATCTAAAAAGGATCACCAGTAGCGGAAGAAAGATGATGGTTCTGCTCGAGTGGAAAATTAGCTGGTTTTGCCCCCAACAAACCAACCTCAGAAATGATGTCCAGAGCATACTTGCTCTGACAAAGAAAAATGCCAGAAGAATGCCTAGCGACTTCAAGACCAAGAAAATCCTTAGGAACCTCAAGATCCTTCATATGAAAACATTGATGCAAATACTCCTTGAACGACTGAAGAGCAGCAGTGTCATTGCCCAAAAGAATGAGGTCATCAACATAAATAAGAACATTAATCTGCACAGCCGCTCGCGTCAAAGTGAACAAGGAATAATCAGAAGGGGATTGTTGAAAACCATATTGACGAAGAACACTAGCAAGCTTAGCAAACCAACAACGAGGAGCCTGACGAAGACCGTAAACGACAGACCTGACTAGGTTGAGAACTAGGAAATCCAGAGGGACTTCATATCCCCATATAAGAAGGCATTATAAATATCCATTTGATGGAGCTCCCAACCCTTAACAGCAGCAACAGCCAGGAAAGTGCGAACAATCACCATTTTTGCAACAGGTGCAAAGGTCTCATTATAATCAATGCCTTCGATCTAGTGATTGCCAATAATAACTAGACGCGGCTTACAGCGCTCAATCGAACCATCGGAATGATATTTAATTTTAAACACCCATTTGCAGCCAAAAGTGCGTTTCCCAGAGTGGAGAGATGCCAAAGTCTAGGGCTTATTGTGCTCAAGAGCCTGAATCTCCTGTTGCATAGCAACGGGCCAGCTAGCATCACACATGGCTTCTGCAAAAGTACGAGGCTCTAAACCTGCAGCAGCACTAGCCAAAAAAACACGATGGTGCGCAGATATTTGTGTAAAGGATAAGACGTACCTGAGGAAACTGATGAAGTAGATGAGCGGAGAGAGGGGCTGTCGAGAGTAATGGTGCGAGAAGCAAAATCACGAAGACGATTGGATGGAATTTCGGTACGATGACCACGACCCAATAATTCTTCCAACGACCCAGTAGAAAACGAACTCCCCCTGTCATCAGAGGTACCATCAACAAGATTACCCTAGAAGAATCAGAACCAAAGGGAGACGATGTGGTAGGTGAGGAAGTCGGAGAAACCTCATCATCATCATGCACCAAGGGCAATGATGGAAAAAGAGTAGTGGGCGCATCAGGAGTAAAAGAAGCCAAGTAAGGAAATTCTAACTCAGAAAGAGACAAAAAAATTCCCAGACTCTAAATCATAAATTCGCCAACCTTTTGTCCCAAACTAATAGCCAACAAACAAACACCGATGACTGCGACTAGCAAACTTATCCCCCTTTCGGTCCTGGCTGTGCACATAACACAAGGATCCAAACACAAGCAGATGGGAGAGGGAAGGTGGTTTGCCATACAACAATTCACAAGGTGTTTTACAATGCAAAATACTCGAGGGAGTACGATTTATCAAGTATCCAGCAGCTAAAATACACTTCCCCCATAAATCAATAGGCAGACCGGCTTGAAAACACAAAGCGCGAGCAACATTAGGAATATGGCGATGCTTACGCTCTACCCGACCATTCTGCTGGGGGGTACCAATACAGGACGTTTCATACAAAATGCCAGTCTTACGAAAATAAGAAGTCATGCACGTAAATTCAGTACCATTATCGCTACGAACAGTTTTGACCAACTTGTCATATTGACGCTCAACCATAGCAAAGAAATTTTGTAAAGTCACAGAGACCTCTGTCTTATCAATCAACAAATAAATCGATACGGCTCGCGAAAAATCATCAACAGTGGTCAAAAAATACCATGCTCCAGGGAAAGAAGGGGTACGGTTAGGTTCCCATAAATCACAAAGTATCAAATCAAAAATAGCATGAGGCTGAGTAACACTAGTAGGAAAAGTATCACGAGTCTGCTTTGCCCGGAAACAAACGTCACAAGTTTTATTGCAATGACTACTAGAACTTCTAGAACCAACATGCGGAAGCAATTTTAAAGCTTTCGGGGATGGATGCCCTAACCGTTGATGTCATAAATCAAAGGAAGAAAAGCCAGAAGGCACAACAGCAGCAGTAGTTTCCACAACCCGAAAGAAATACAGCCCCTCACATTGCTCACCCGTTCCAATCAGGATCCTCAAATTTAGGTCCTGAACAATACACAAATCAGAAGTAAAGTGAGCAATATAAGAGGAATTTCGCAACAATTGTGACACAGAAATGAGGTGACATTTTAAATCGGCACATAAAGCACATCATGCAAAATCAAACTGCTGTTAAGAATGACTGAACCAGCCTTAGTTGCTAAGGAACAATGACCATTGGGTAAATCAACCGGAACACCAGCAATATCCCGGACATCATGAAAATAGACCAGAGAACCCGTCATATGACGAGTAACTCCGGAATCATACATCCACCTGTAAGAAAGTGGCTTACCAGACAACTTCTCGGAAGGTCCTAATTTAGCCGAATTTAACAAAGTAAGCAAAGTGGACAGTTGGTATTGATTTAGACCAGTAACCATGCTGGTTGGGACACCTGAACCAAACCCAGAAGCCCGTTGGACCGCAGTGTGCACAGCAGCAGTAGGAACCGATCCAACAGAACCAGCCGAACCAACCGAGCCAACCAAACCAGAACCAGATTGAGAACCGCATCCAGAACCATGGCCTCGTCCACGTCCGCCGCCGCCACCACCATTCGCTCGAAGAATCAGCCAATTTTCCGGGTAGCCAATGAGTTGAAAACATTCGGAAACTTCGTGGCTAGTATTATGGCAGTTAGAACAGATAAGATTTCGCCTGCAGCCGCGGCCGCGTGGCTTGGAATTGGCTGAAGAAATCTGAGGAACAGCATCACCGGCGTCACGAGCATAAAGGCGGACGCCGAGAGTGGGTTGAACATCAAAGGCCATCTGGGAGTTAGAGGAAGACTCACGTTGCGCCACAGAACGAAGGCGCTCTTCCTGGACAACGAGAGAATACACTCGTTCAAGATTGTGAAGAGATCATTCGACAAAATTGTGGAACGAACTGAAGCAAATAAATCGGAAGCCAGTCCCATTAGAAACTAATGAATGTGTTCAGTCTCGCAATGAGTTATCACCTTCTAATAATGTTTTTATACATTAACTTTTTTAAAATATACCTAGATAAACAAAACCACGGCTCAATCAGGATTTGTTTTTTTCCCCAAAATGTCTAATTATTTTTTTAAAAAAAAGCGATTGAAAAGTAGAATCCAAACTTCCAGAAAGATTGTCTTGTACAAAGACCTATATTATAGCATAAACAACTGAAAGCCGCCAACAACTCCTTTAACCTCCTAACCATTGCAAATAGACACCGAGAATAGATGTACTACAATGTCCATTCTCATGATAACTCAAGCCTATGTGAGATATCATCCTCGATCCACTGCTTAATCTGACTGAATAAAAAGAATATCATGTACACTCAAAGATCACCCAAATAAAAAGATAAGAATGAATTCGACTGTAATTTACTGCAAAAAGTATAGAAAATTGATAACAAGCTCGCCTTGCTCAGTTGAAAATGGGAAGCACATCCCACCATTTGTCCTGGTGCTCTGTTTTTGATGCCCTGTTTTCTGCCAAACTGCTCCTTGAAATTCTTTCCCGACTAACGATGATAACAAACAAAATAACAGAGATAAAAAAAAAAATGCCACGATTCCCAAGAAAAAAGGGAGAAAGATTGTTGAAGTTTAAAACTGATGAACTCCATTAACATAATTAATCTTCATACAAATTTTCAGAGCAAAATTTTGTCTCGGGATTTCAAACAGTTCACCCGGACACATACCCTTTCACCAAGACAGTAATATCTGATTAAGGAACAGAAGAATTAAGCCTTAGAAACAACCTTTTGACGATTTTTTTCTGGGTTACTCGCCTAATCAAAACTCGAAAGGATTTTACAAGCTACATTAATTGGTTGATCGATTTCTGACGAAAAAACGTTGAGTACTTTAGGATTAATGCAATTTTCAATGATATTACTTCTTTCATTTCATATACACGAAGAAAGAGATGTAAATTAATATGCCTATTTGTATCCATCATTTGATGCTTTTGTCTCTGGCTATTATCTTGGTTTATCTAGTTTCACTTTTTGACGTTGAAATGGAAGTTCGCAACAAGAAATTTTACTTGCAATACCTGGAACGATACATGCATCAAATCAAATTAAGAGATAAACAAGAGAGAGAATTCTATAATTTACTACTAAAGTGCCAAATAAACAAAAATTGTTCAACAGTCCTCCTAAATCCTAATCTATGCAAACAAAGAGGCACCCCTCATCAGTTGATATCAGTTTTGATAGAGTCTATTTATTATCCCTTAAAATATCAATCAAATTAAATCGGATAATAAATTAAATTTACACATATCATCTGAGGATAAATAAGAATACGCATCCTCTCTGAAATTTGAATTTGATAATAGTAAATGATACTCCCTCCGTCCCATAATTATTGTCCAGTTTTGGTTTTCATTTTTAGTTCAAATTATACTAAAAGTGAAATTTCAAACTGGACAATAATTTTGGGACAGCTAGAGTACTTTTTTTAGAAGCTTACGGTGTTTTCGTTTATCGCCTTAACAAATAATATCCTATTTAATCCCCCAATCATGTTAGTTCAAAAAATCCCTATATTAAATCAAGATGTCAGTCGTCTCTGTCTCCACAATTGCCTATGTATAAACTGAGCCGTCAATCACAACTATACTGTTGAAAAATGGGTGAGGATTTTGCCATGCTGCAGCGGCCAGTTTTAAAAACCCTCAGTATCATACAGGTTAATTTTTGGAGGGATTGGCTTGGGATTTTTTTTTTTTTCCCTTCTTCTTTTCCTTGATAATGACTACCATGAAATCGTCGGTCATGATTTTGATGATGAACTTCTCCAAGAACAATTGGTAGGTAATAAAGAAAAAATATCAAGTTTACTGCATTTTGGTGTGCCAAATGTTTCTTTACTTTTATTCTTTGACGTCAACGTTTAATCTCAAAATGAAATGATGGATTCTGGGTAATGTGGATATGACGAGCTTTGACCTAGATGCCACAGGCATATGTTAAATGTGATACTCCTTCTGTCCCAAAATTCTTGTCCAGTTTGAGATTTCACTTTTAGTACAATTTGAACTAAAAATGAAAATCTAAATTGGACAATAATTCTGAGACGGAGGGAGTATTTCTACACTAAACCCATACATATAAAAATTATAAATGTGTAAATAATTGTGCAACTATTCTATAGTTTTTCATATTGTATTGTATAGGGGTTGATTTGTACATATGATGAATTAGTGGGGTTAGCAGTTGTAAATACAGGTAGTAAAGACTTATGTATTTATAGTCTGTACAGTTGTGAATTGGGGATACTGAATACTGAAACCGATTTCGAAGATTCAAGAACTCTGGTTTTTTTCCTTCATTTTTGTTCCATCTTTTCCTTCCAAATTACAGATCCAAACTTGTAGATGGTATCAGAGTAGGATTAGATCCTTCTCGGAACCAGGCTACAATTCAATTGACCGGAGCAATTTCTCGGCGGTTGAGTAGAATCAGAAACCCTAAGTTTCGCGATTTCAGTAGAAAATGGAGCTATATCGCGACGGAGAACGCAGGAATGGTGACCGGAAAGATGACAGAGCTTATGCAAACTATGGAGGAGGAGGATACATCCATCCGCTGTTTTTGCATCCGTCGGACAATTCATCGATGGCGGTTGTTTTGAACAAATTGACAGATCTGAATTTTGTTTCATGGAGTCACAACATGAAGAGATTCCTAGGAACAAAAAATAAACTCGGTTTCATCACTGGAAGTGCGGGTGAACCTGCAGAAGGACATCCAGATCGTGAGCAGTGGCATAGGGTTAATGGCACTGTTGTATCATGGATTCTAAACTCAATTTTTGACGAGCTGGTGGACAATTATGATTTGGCTACAAATGCAAAGGATCTGTGGGATGAATTACAGGAGCGGTACGGTACTACAAATGGACCACAGATTTATCACCTAAGGCGGGAGATAGCCACAATATCTCAAGGTAATCTCTCTTTATCTGTGTATTACTCTAAGCTGAAACGTTTGTGGGATGAGCTAAGTTGTTTGGATCCAATCGATGAATGTACTTGTAATTTGAGTAAAAGCAATACAAGAGAGAACAGGCATAGGTTAATAGAATTTTTGAGTGGACTGAATAATTCTTATAGTGGCGTAAGAGACCAGATTTTGATCATGGATCCATTGCCAATTGTTAAGAAAGCATACCAATGGTTGTTAATGTGGAGAAACAACAGATAGTCAGCAGGAAATTTGTTGAACCTGTGGAACAAAGTGCCATGATGGTGCAAAAGAAACCAGTTAATACAGGAAATGTAGGAGTTGGAAATGCAGAAAATAGAGGAAATACAGTGAATGCAGCTGGTTACAAGCCTGGGAATTACAGGTTTACTACTAATCTGGGGAAGGAGAACAATTTCAGGATTGATAAAGCATTGAAGAAACTGATAAAGTGTGACAATTGTGGAGGCACATGGACCTCAAAGAAGGTTGTTTCGAGCTTATCGGATACCCGGAATGGTGGGAAGGACTTAAAGAGAGGAAGAAAGCAGAAGCCTCTGGTAGAAATGTGGCAAATCTTGCAGAAACACCTTTTGATCAAGAATCAGGTTTACAGTCAAACAGTGAGATTATGATGGCAATGATGAGGTTTATGCAACAGGAAATGTCAAAGATGATGAAAGGAAAATCAGTGGGAAAGGAAGGTGATCAAGCCAACTTTGCGCATTTTCACGAGTTTGCAGGTATGGCCACTTTTTAAGCATTAAGTGCTCTTAATTTGATAGAGAAAGAGTTAGCATTGCTTTGGTTCTTAGATACTGGTGCTACAGGACATATAGTTACATTCTTTAAACTTTTATCTTGTTTTAGACCAGTTACTCAATTTACATCAGTTGCATTACCTGATGGTAGTTTTAAAGGGGTAGAACATATAGGAACTGTCAAGCTTTCTAATACCTTAGAACTCCCTGAATGCTTACATGTTCCTTCTTTTCGATATAACCTTCTCTCAGTAAATAAACTAGCCGTCTCCTTCAAGATTGATTGTTTTTTTTTCCACTTCTTTCTGCCTGCTACAGGACCAAGCGACTAGAAAGCTGGTTGTTGTAGGCAAAGTTTTGCACAGGCTATACATTCTAGATTCGACATCTTTTTCAGATACTACTATCAACATCTTCATCAAAGATCATGTCAACCATCCTTTCATTTTCTAACCTACTTCTAGAGTTTCACACCATTCCAACCTAGCAGCTGAGAATTCTATGCAAAAATGGCATATGAGATTAGGGCATGTGCCAGATTTAGTTCTTAGCAAGTTAGGTTTATCTTCCGGAAATAAGTCTGATCAAGACATATGTATTGTTTGTCCATTGTCTAAACAACACAGATTAGAATTTCCATCCAGTTGTATTCAAACCATTTCTGTTTTTGACTTGATTCATATTGACTTGTGGGGACCTTATAAAACCAAAACTTTGAATGGTGCATTTTATTTCCTTACTATAGTTGATGACTATAGTAGATGTACTTGGACCTTCCTTATGAATAATGAAACTCAAACAGTTGACATTCTCAGAAACTTCTTTATTATGATTCGAACCCAATTCCATATTTCGGTTAAAACAGTACGATCTGATAATGGGACAAAATTCACATTAGGTGATTGTCAATCATTGTTTACTAGTCTTGGAATTCTACACCAAGAGACCTGTGTTTATACTCCACAACAAAATGGTGTTGTGGAGAGAAAACACAAACATCTCTTACAAATAACCCGGTCACTTCTATTCCAATCTGGTTTACCGAAAATATTTTAGGGGGACTCGATTCTCACTGCCACATATTTGATAAATCGACTTCTAGCATCTGTTTTGAGTTGAAAGTCGCCATATGAAGTTTTATTCTCCAAAATTCCAGACTTAAATCATCTTAGAGTGTTTGGTTGTTTGTGTTTTGCAACTAACACTTTCCCTCACGAAGATAAATTTGACCCTCGAGCACATAGGTGTGTGTTTTTAGGATATCCAGCCGGACAAAAAGCATACAAACTATATGACTTAGATTCTAAAAGGATCATTATTTCAAGGGATGTGGTCTTTCATGAATCCGTTTTCCCATATCTGAATTCATCAAACTCCAAAGATCCTATTTCAGCCCCTTATCCATCCTTCCCAGATGAAAAAAATCATTGGTTTGAGTCTTCTATTTTGTCCCAAACAGCTTCTTCTCCTGATCCTCAACATGATGTTGATCCCATTGTGGACAATCCACCTCTCACTGCTTCTCCGAGGATCGATCAATCTCATTCTAATCAAACTGATCATGGTCCATCTCTGTCATCTCAACCTGATCCTATTCCTTCTCACAATCAAGAACCTCTTCGAAGAAGTACTCGATCCACAAAACCACCAAGCTGGTTACAAGACTTTCATACGGATCGTGCACATTTTGCACATCCTCTTTCTACTACTTTCCTTCCTCATCCTGACTCTTCTCCTTACACACCTAATACATATCCATACACCATGCCATCTAACTTCTCTGCAACCCACATGTCTTTTCTAGCACAGATCAGTACCTTTAAGGAACCACGGTGCTATTCTCAAGCTCGGTCAAATCAAGAATGGGTTAAGGCCATGAATCAGGAATTGGATGCTTTGGAAAGCAATCATACATGGAGTTTGACTGCTTTACCACCAGAAAAAACAGCTATAGGAAGTAAATGAATTTATAAGATCAAACATAAACCCGATGGCTCTATAGACAGGTTTAAAGCTCGCCTAGTGGCGAAAGGATATTCCTAGGTGGAAGGTGAGAATTTTTATGATTGTTTTCCCCCTGTGGCTAAGGTAGTTACAGTCAGGTTGTTTCTGGCTACAGCTACAACATCTGGTTGGCTGATTCATCAAATAGATATCAACAACGCCTTTCTACATGGTTTCCATGAAGAGGAGGTGTATATGGAACCTCCAGAAGGATTACAAAAGCTCTACCAGGTCAAGTTTGTAAACTGACCAGATCCTTGTACGGTTTGAAACAAGCATCTCGTTAGTGGAATGTGGAATTTGCTGCTCAACTTCAGGTTTTTGGTTTTAAACAGTCTGTAAATGACCCTTGCTTGTTTACAAGCAGCATTGAAGGACATTTCACTGCTCTTATTGTATATGTTGATGATGTTTTGATCACTGGAACCAGTGAAGCAGTTATTACCAAAGTAAAGCAGTTTCTACACCAAAAATTCACCATCAAAGACTTGCAGTATGCCAAGTACTTTCTTGGAATTGAGCTTGCTAGATCTCCTGAGGTTTTGTTTTTGAATCATCGTAAATATATCTTGGATATCCTATAGGACACTGGATTACTTGTTTGTAAAGCGTCGACTACTCCTCTTCCCAAGAATCATCAGTTCTCAGATGATCCAGGCCCCTGTTTGGAAGATGCTTCAGGTTATAGAAGATTGGTCGGCCAGCTTCTATATCTCAATTTCACTCGTCCGGACATCACGTTTGCTGTGCGGCAATTGAGTCAGCATATGCATAAACCTTGTGAAGAGCATGGAGAAGCTCTTTTCCATGTTCTCAAATACTTAAAAGGTACAGTATCCCATGGCCTGTTTTATCCCTCGGATAATTATCTCCGGATGGAAGTTTATAGTGATGGTTATTGGGGCTCGAATCCCCATCACAGAAAGTCTGTTTCTGGTTACTGTGTGTTATTAAGTTCTGCTTTGATCTCATGGAAGGCAAAACAACAAGATACTATCTCCTGCTCCTCAGCTGAGGCTGAATATAGGAGCTTGAGTTTTGCTACCAGGGAAATATTGTGGATCAGCTATTTGTTAGTAGATTTTGCAGTTTCCTTATCCCTGCCAGTTCCTCTTTGGTGTGATAATTCCTCAGCAATTTACATTACGGAGAATCCAGTTTTTCACGAACGCACCAAGCATTTGGAAATCGACTGCCACTTTGTTCGGCATCACTACAATCGCAGATTTCTTGTTCCACTTTATATTCCTTCAAAAGGTCAGCTTGCTGATCTTTTTATGAAGTCGCTTTGTTATCCGCAGTTTGCTTCTCTGTTGGACAAGCTTGGATTGAAGAATTTTCTTCAATCATCAGCTTGAGGGGGGGCTGTAAATGTGTAAATAATTGTGCAGCTATTCTATAGTTTTTTATATTGTATTGTATAGGGGTTGATTTGTACATATGATGAATTAGTGGGGTTAGCAGTTGTAAGTACAGGTAGTAAAGACTTATGTATTTATAGTCTGTACAGTTGTGAATTGGGGATACAGAATACCTAAACCGATTTTGAAGATTCAAGAACTCTGGTTTTTTTCCTTCATTTCTTCCATCTTTGCCTTCCAAATTATAGATCCAAACTTGTAGAAAAATCAATTAAGTAACCAAGTAAAGAAATCAAAACAAGTTCATACTTATAATTTTACTATGAGTCTATGAATGCTCGCTTTCGTTTTTTCCCTGAAAAGAAAAATGGCAGCTACTGGTTCGGTTTTGTGGATAAGAACATAGATTCTTATGGTCATTGAGTAAAAATACATGATCATTGTTACAGGTTTATTTCTTTTTCATTTTTGGTGTGTGTGCGTTATATTTTTGCATTTTTGTATGATACGGATTGTGTACCCCGAATATGTATTTTTTCTGATTTCGAATCATGGAAACAAATATAGATCATCTTCTTCTGTAAATAATTATACACATCTGTTTATTTGATCGAGGATGTTGACTCCCAAAACAACTACTGATTTCTGAAGAATACAACTAGCCCTGGGGGTGTTTAACAGTCCAACACCAAGAGAATCTACACTACTGATTTTTTTCTGGCTACATATATGTAACGAAAAAGTGCATTCATCTTCAAGTTTCAGTTCCAGTTTGAGCTTTTGTAAGTATGTTCCATGATTTTCCTTGTAAATATTGGTGGAACCGAATTCAAGTTTGACAATTTTTGGGAAACAAAATTTGGAGATTTGGCTTTGGGGTATAACCGTAAACCTAGACTCTTTTTCGTTGCCTGTTGACTTTCCATAATCGTTCCAACATAGCTGACGGTAGTCAGAGGTGGCGACTCACTTCAAGTCATGTAGAATACATAAAACTAAGGGAATTGTCAAAAAAATTTCTAATGGCGTAAAATTAATCTAAGATAAGGTATCATAATGTACTACTAATATAACCTAGTACTGATTCTTAGAACATATTTCAACCTGTCATCTTGTAAATCTGCCATCAGGAATATCTCATAACATCATAGTTACACTTATTTACTTTTTACTAATATTATTGACACACTTATAATAACCATCTTTTCAATGTCCTTACTCAAAATTTTCCCAAATATATCATTAAATATACTCGAAGAAGTAATTATTTAAATTTCTAACATTACATTACGTCAATGCTTCAAATTGCAAAAAATGTGTACACATCCAGAAACATTCTCAAAGATAATAATCCAATCCGTTTATTTTCATTACAATTACAACTTTGACAAAACTTAGATGTACACAATGTTAAACATACGTTTCTCCCCCTTTTCTCACAATTTTTATGAAAGTAAAAAATTCCCACTCATACGTTTCTTCCTTTTTGCATGCGTGTCATTTATGCATATACGTGGATAAAATTTCATACGTTAAACGTTATACATACATGGGAAATTCAATGGTCCGGTCATTATTTTTTGACTGAACCATTTAGTTAAGTCATATCCAGTTAAAATTTGACATGTCATCTATAATTATGGGTGAGAAGTATCTTAATAACCCCCTTGTTATCAATCAAAATGAAATATAATATGAAAATACAAAACAATCCTTATACACTTTTCGGCCTCCAGCAACACACGGTGGTTGAAGAGGGCATCGCGGTGACCTTTTCGGAGATCTTCCACCGCCTTCTTCAGCTCCGCAGCCTATAAAATTGAAATTCTCGGAACCTAATGGTAGCAGTAGTAAAGACTCAAAGATCATCGATAATAAAGAACCCTCAGCTAGCTCTCCTCCGCCACCTCCGCCGCAAGCACCCCCTCATGCGCTAAAAAGCGCACTAAAGCGTTCAAAGACATCTTCTCAAGAAGAACCGAAACCTGAAGTGGCATCGTCTGGAAAAAGATTGAGATTTAAAACGTCAACTGATGCCTCGGAGGCGAAAGTGATAGAGGCTATGAAAAAGATTGCATCCCATATAAAGAATCCTTCCAAATTTAGCAAGGCTATTCAGGCAGGCAGCGTGAAGCCTGCAACTAGTGATCACTTCTTTGCTATACTTGAGGTTGCAATGTCATCGCCCACTGCTTGCAATGAGGCTTCTCTACGAGCTGACTATCATCCTTTGTTCTCTGCAGCCCAAGATGCAGCTGAGTTCTTTAATAACAAGCAGAAGAACCTCTTGAGGACATGGACGATAAGGGCTGTTGTGGCAAATGATCTTCTCACTGATGATAGCTTTCTGTTTTCAAAAGCTTCTGGGAGGGTAAAAGAAGCCATATCAAGTCTTCTTGTTGCCACCAAAGATGACGATGATGAAGAATCCGCTATCTTGGCTGGTTAAGTGAATGTGGAGAATGCAAATGAACAGGCCGATGGAGTTAACTCAAGTTCTGTGGATGAAGGAAGGGTTAAAGAGCCTGATCCTTTTGGGCTTGATGCTCTAATTCCTGGTACATCTAGAAACGAAGATAGAATGACGGGAAAGAAAGAGGCGATTAAAACTAAAGCATTAGAAGAGGAAGAAGCCAAGAAATTTCTCCGAAGACAGAGGGAAGCATTATTTACCTGTCTGGAAACTTCAGCACGGCGCCATAAAACCCCGTGGTGCCAAACAGTTATTAACATCTTATCTTAGTGAAGCATGATTTTGATAATATTTCAAGGTTCACCTCCCGGCAAAGGGAAACCATTGATAAACTGTGGGCTTCCATTAGGGAGCAACACATTCGCCGCAAGCAGGGTAAGTCTGTGACAGGGAAACTTGATCAAAATCAATGATCAAGAAGTGATTATTTTTGGCAATGATCTTAATTGTTACTGGGAGTTTGATTTTATTTATATTAGCATTGTGGTGAATGAAAAAAAAATTTGTTTGGTGTTGTGGATATTGGATGGTTGTGAAAGTTGTTTAAAGCAACCTGCATATGGTTGATGGGGTTACGCATAAATTCATTGTAAAAATGTTCGTTGATGAAAAATGAATTCAGTTTGAAATGATTATTCCATGAATATTGTTCGTAATTATCAAAGACGAATGCTTCATTGAAAAGGAAAAAGAAAAAGAAACAAAGGCAATATGGTAATTTTGTTTTAAGTTAATATCATAAAAATTATCCTCTATTGTTACCTTATTTTAGGATCATGTTGCCTTTTATTTGATTCTATGGATAGGATGGTTTCTTTCTCATCCAACGGCTAATATTATTGACTGGACTATCTAGTGTAGTCGCTCCCTACATACATATATTATATACTATATTTGTCATAGAAAATAGTCTAAATAGAATTTGATATTTGTACTAAAAATAATGCAAATTTTGAAACTCAATTTTTTTTTATAATTAGACAAGGCGAGTACTTGAAAAATTTATGGATAACCAGAAATATTTTTCAAGGCAGTGCTTAAGACTTACCCTGTACAAGAGACCGTCAAAAAGACGAAAAATTTAAATATCATTAAATATACTGATACTTACAAAAGAGACCTAATTGGACCGACACAAAATTATGTCTAATGTCTGGTATTTTTCGGATTTTTCAGAAATATTTTCCTAATAACTCAATAAAGAAAAACTACATGCTAAATTTTCAGTCACCGTGATTCGTTTCTTTTGGATCACAGATCTGAACTGTCGCGTTTAGTAGACATATAGAGAATCCAAATCTATGAGTGATATACAGGAAAATTGAATACTGTTAATTTCAAAAAGAGTCACTAAAATATAATTAATCCGAATCCGAATCTGAACCAAACATATGAAATAACTGTATAAACTAATTTGGTTTGTTTGTAACCCAGACCGGAGAACCGATATGTACCGGCTCATCGGGTATTGAGGACCGGCGGACCGATTTATGAGAGTTGGCTAACGAAGCGGCTGTGTAATAGGGAGCCGGAGGTCCGGCTTTAGGTGGCTGGCAAAACTGGTTTGATGGTGGTGACGGCTGTGACGGCTGCCGACTTGAAGCAGCGGACCGTGGACCTCCGTAGCATCAGGCTTCTCACTGGCACCCAGATTTGAGACATCAGAGTCTCGATCTGCATCTGTCAAGATAGAATGGGGGACGGCCGAATGCGTTAAGCCTAAGAGCGGCAGCTGCTTCTGCGGGAGATCAAGGCGGCGGGGAGAAGAGCGTTCTGGCGGTGGCAGCAGGATCATATCTGAGTAATAACTCACATTGCAGCAATCAACACTGCCAGGCGGCTAATCCACGGCCAACGATCCTAGGGCAGCGCCTGATCTGCATTAGCAGCGGCTGTTCTTTGATGATTCGTCTGGAGCTGGTCGTTGGATTAATTGGTGGCCGCTACTTTGTTTTTATTTGAGCAAAGGGGAAAAAACATAAAATAAAAGGGAAATTTGACTCTCCCAACCACCGTTAATGGTTGTTGAGGGAGGAGGAAGGTGTTGTTGAGGGGCGGTGGGTAGGAGAGAGGGAGGAGAGTTTCAGGTTTATAGCCATTTTGAAACTCAATGTTAGAATTTACTCAATGTTAAAAATAGTGCAAATTTTAACAGCAGAAAGAGTACATTTAATTTTTTTTATCAATTATTTTATAAAAAAATAAATAAATATACGTACGAGTATAACATCTGATTATTACTAAAAAAAACAGCAAAGATGAATGAAAGAAAACGAACTCAGCGCAAGAGAAGGGAAGCAAGAAGGAAGTAGAAGCATAACAATAAGGAAAGTGATTACAATGCTCCAAGCAACCATGAATAAGCAGCTTAGCTAATTTTCAACCGAAAGTATCAAATTGCCTTATTTATTCCACATGTATCTGAAATGTAAACACTTAATCATGGGTCGGTCAAGTAGTAACGTGAAATAGTTTGTGTGTCTATATCTTAAATATGTCGTTTAACGCATTATACCTTTTCCCCCAAACTTTTTTCAGTGACACTCATGAAATCACATATACACCATTTTGCTTGTAAATTAAATTTGTTTATATGATTGTGGTGCAATATTCTTCATCGTGAAATTCTAATATATTTATATGTGTTCCTTCAAAACTTTAATAACTAATAAAAAGTCTAATAAAACATCGAATAATCGACAAGTATTATAATTTGTAAGAATCAATACATTGCATATAAAAAAAATTGATGAGACTATCTTTTACTTCTACAACTCTACCAATTTCGTGATTTGCTTTTGCTTCTGTCGACTGTACTGCACAATTTCCCGCATTTTACGCCTTTACATTATCTCATATTTCCTCGTGTTTTATTTTTGTACAATTCATTTCCATGCCGGAAATAACCAAAACCAAGACGTGATTAGTTAATAATCAATTTTACCGGATAGACTTCACCACAAGATATAGAACTAGTTCAACTCCTCTCATTTATGATAATCTCCATGAAAACAAAGAGCAAGTATGCTGTAAAATTAGGATACGTTTCTTTGTTTTGCTTATCTAAAGAGAAAGGAAGATGCCTGTAATTATTAATTTTTTTTTTCGTAATCCTAATGAGAAAAAGATAGTAACTTGGGGAAAACCACTTTTTAGCTATTCAGTTTTCTTTTTTCCAAAAAAAAAAAAAAACAATTATACTCTAAACGTGTCCATTTTAGTTTCTTCTCATCATATTTTTATAGTCCAAAAACAAAAATCTATGAATTGAAGTAATAAACCTAAAAACTTTGAACTATAATAATATTAATAAATTAACGGAGAAAATATGTCGAAATAGTTATTCAATAATTTATTAAATGATCTGAGGGTCTTAATACTTTTAAGTTGATACTTCCTACGGAGCTTTTATTGCTGAGAATTTACAAGTTTCTACTAATCTTACTATAAAATTTTAATCTTGTGGGAGTTAAAATGATGTACAAAAATGATGAGGAAGGGTCGAAAAAATTGCATGAACCTGAACTTTTTTTCTTCTTTTTGATTTTGTCAAAAAGGGGAACAAAATCCAGTGCAAACTATATATATATATATATATATATATATATATATATATATATATATATATAGCAAGCTTGCTCACTTTTACGATTTCTCTCAATTCATTTGCCAGCGAAAAAAAACCAACATTCTTTACCTTCCTCCATAAACACTTCCTCGTGTACATTTTCATCTTCTAACCATATGGCTAAGGCATTACGTATTTTTGCAAAGCTCATTGTCTTCTTGTTTTCCTTAGCCTTCCTTTTACTAATAAATCTTGGTTTCGAATCTTATTCGGAAGACCATTGTCTTCCCTACAGCGCCAAAAAGGCGTTTATAGCCGTAAATATTTTCTTTGGTCTTTTAGCGACCGTAAACTTCGTCGGTCTGGTCTGGATTTATTTCAGACCAGAAAACGATTACTTGGTTGAATATCTCATATATATTGTGTGTCACGTTATCGTACTATTGATTTCCCTTGTCCTCCTTGTAGTGTGGTCAACCTCTATTTGCCCAACTCAGGAACAAATGCAGAAGGACCTGGTGCATAATAACGATCAGTGGGGAAAGATCGAAAAGTGTTTGGTCGACCGGCAATACTGCGATCGTTTCCGGGACGCCGACGGTTGCTGTCACCAACCCGCCGGGTGCCAGTTCGAAGACGCCGGAAATGAAGATCCAGATTGTGTGAATTGGAAGGAAGACAGAAAGAAGTTGTGCTATTCGTGCTCCACCTGCAAAAGAGATATTATCAATAATCAGCAAAATCATTGTGATAGGATCGCAACTGCAGCGATCATTTTCTGTATTTTGTTAGGTTTTATTGTCTCGGTTCAAATAATAGATTTATGTGTTAGTATACGGTTCTACTAAAATTATTATGAACTTACTACAATTTCTCTGAATGTTGTTTATTTAGTTCTTTTTTTGAATTGCATTACATATCGGCTTGTAAATTGTTTCAATATTCTTTTATTGTTAATCATGTTAACGTTTTTTTTTTTTATTCATTAGGAATTATAATCAAGATGAATGTTGTAAAAGTTTCAAATGGATCTCTGCATTTACATATATAACTACACGCTATTTTCTTAATACGAAATTTGAACATTTTTCTGATCTCCATGTAACTTTTGTCATTTCATTTTACCATTCTTCTTAGGTAATCTTTGTACATAGAAGTGCATGTTCTTCTAATCTCTATGGTTGAGACGTTGAGTAAACGTTTTATTGACTTGTCGTTTCTTGGAGCAATTGAGTTAATATGTCAATTCAAAATCACCAACGCCAGTGGATGCCTCGGCCTCGTAGAATTGACACATACCTCAGAATAAAGGAGGCTTAATGAACATAGAACTTGATGACTATATATAAGTAACACCAAATTCGACGAGAAGTTCAACAATTTTGATGTTTTGATGGTCTTACAAACTCATTCTGTCCCAAAAGAAAAAATGTTCATTTCGTTGAATTAAAACAAATATGTTTGTGAATACTGAATATGCAATCTGTTTTCACAAGTAGTACCTCCGTCATCCCAAAAAAATAGTTTACATACAGTTTTGAAATTTATACTAATTTTAGTACAAATTTGAAAACCGAAAGTGGACTATTTATATGAGACGGATGGAGTATTATTTAACGAATTTTAGTACAAATTTGAAAACCGAAAGTGGACTATTTATATGAGACGGATGGAGTATTATTTAACGGGACATGGTATGTGGTTCAACAATTTTGATGTTTTGACGGTCTCACAAACTCATACTGGGATAGACGGAGTATTATACTTGAAGGTATAAGAAAGTCGCATTTAACAAGAATGGGATATGTTAACTACAACCCAAAAAGAAAAGGAAGAAAAAACGAAAGAAAGAAAGAAAAAGAATGACATATTTAGATTTAGATGGAATTTGCTTAAGGATCACCTAGTTCAGTTATTGCTGATTTTTGAGTCATTTTTCGTCATCCTTAATTCACCATTTTGTCTATAATACTAACATTCATGCGTCCTTATATGAACGATTCTCGAACTTTTTTTTTTTTTTTGGGTACAAAATCAAATAGTTTAAAGCGTGATCAAATTAATATAATCATGTAATACCCAGCAATACGATTAATATGCGATTTTATTTATTTTTTACATTGAAAACTTTCAAGGGAGGATTGTATACAGAGGATTGTTCTGTAATGCAGAGATAACCTTTTCCGCAACTTCACCTCTTGCTCTAATACAATTCAATACGTGAATTATGAGTTGCGGCATTTCATGTGGAGTTCGGGCAGCACAATCGTAATAATCATTTTGGGCAGTCTTAATGGCATTCAATGCATCCGATTTACGATCATAATTCCAAAATTCAAGTGCGGTGAAGAATTGTGCTTCTACGCTTTTAAGTTTCGGCACACAATAAATTGCTGCTTCTTGAAGTCTAGTGTCAGTGGAGTTATTAGAAGCATCTATCATTGGCTTTCGAGCAATCTTGGAAGAACGACGAGCACAATCGATGAGTTTTGCAACCAATTTCTTCACTTGCACATCTCCTTCGCTTTGTTGTTCTTCTTGCTGTTTGTCATTTTGGATTTCGTGCCCCAACTTCCTTTCTAAGCACTTCATACAAAATAAAAAGTTGCTTGGTACCATGTTGCATATGTCCTCGTACGGTGAAGCATCCACATGATGATTTTCAAGTACCATCAAGCATGCAAACAAAATTACACCCAGAATTATAGCATTACTACTCAAAGAACTCGCGCACATTGTTTGAAATGACACACTGCAATTCAAAGACAATAATTAATCGCCATTATCTGAAAAACAAAAAAAAAAAAACAAACAAAAAAAATCTTGTTTAGGACGTTATAGATTTCGAAATTCTTAAAAAAAACAGTACTAGTTTTTTAAAATTTCCAAATTCTTGTGAAGAAATATACATACCTCACTAGATGAAGGTGAAGAATGGGATCGGAAGAAGTATATCGTTCGATTATGACGAAGTAGTTTATAATAGAGCAACGATACTGCTTTGTTCTTATCGTTGGGCTTGATATTTAATACCCTTCAGCTTTCTTTAACTTTTTCCTCTGTTTTTTTTCTCTCCTTTTTTTTTTTTGTGAAAAAGGATCTTCCAGTTATATATAGCCATAGAATTAGCTATGCTTGAACCACTTCATATGCCTCGTGGCGCAGTATTTAAAATGACTACTAAAAGTGTTGGTTCTTTGATAGTATTCAATAGCTTTCTAGAAATAAGGGAGCAACAAGGTGTATTCATTATATTCTTGTCTAATTTATGTGCCCATCATGACGGTTTGAAGCGAAACTAGGAATAAAAATTAAGCTAATTATTTGACTCACGAAGAGATTGATGTAATCCGATGTTGTAGATTGTGACAATTTGACAATTTCAAAACATTAAAAAGAAAAAAAGGAATTTTGACTTCACGGCAGCAACAAAACCGCTAATTTATTACTCATTAGACGGCAATAATGGATGAGCGATATTGCTAGCGAAATTTGTAGGCGCTATGACAAAACTGGACCCCTTTCCAAACTATCCTTATGAAGTCATTTGATACTTGTATCTTTCGGTTAACATTAGATTGATCGATGTTCATTTAAGGAGGAGGGGACGGTTCATAGATTACTTACAGGGAAAATTCAGCTATAACAAAACTACTCCCTTCCTCTTAAACTGGTTGCAAACCCCCGTGGTTACCCGACATATATCCCACATGAGTAATTTTCTTTGTAATATTATTGTAAATCAACAAATTGAACTATGTACTCCTTCTGCTTTAAAATTATTATTCAATTTAGATTTTCACTTTTAGTTCCGTTTGTCCTAAAATGAAAATTCAAATTGGACAATAATTTCGGGATAGAAGGAGTATATATATATATATATATGGGAGAGAGAGAGAGAGTACAAAAAGATTTTTTATATATAATAACTTTATTTGCACGTTTTCAGAAAAAATGGACATCATTAGTGAACTGATTTCAAATGCTAGAAAGTCATTAAGACTCAAGAAGACCTTGCGCCAGAAAGCTATGCCTAGTAGTATCCCAAGTTGTATGCTCCATTGCAGATACTTGTGGACTGGTATGGTAATGCTATCTTAAGCTGAAGCAATGAGAACACCATGTAAACTTTAAGGATAGTTGTGCAAACAATCTTAAGTCCAACAAACTCGATTCTCAATCTCTTTGTCTAATGGACTCCGCGCGGACACTAAACTGGATGTCAAAAAACGAACTTCTTCTAATGAACTTCACTGCAATGTAGTACATTCTAATGTTGTGACTCCAATGTTACATCCCCGACGATGCAAGTCCAATGGAATGGTAAGATCTCGGCTGAATTTAGTCCAAATAGGGAGATCCCATCCCCCCCTATCTATTTGTACTGTGTATTGAGCGACTTGGTCATGCTATTCGAAGGGAAGTGGCTACGGGCAATCAAATATGCTGCCCGGTGAGATTGACCGCCTATGTAGAAGATTCGTATGGGGTAGGGATGAGGAGTCCAGAAAGTTGAGCGCTGTGGCTTGGGATGAAGCATGCCAACCAAAAGCTTTGTGGGGATTGAGGTTGAAGAAACCAACTCTGATGAATAAAGCGTTCATCATGAAACTCGGATGGGGCTTGCTGGACAACCCGGAGGGCGAAAATTCGGGCTGCCAACAAATCTAGGTCTAGAAGATTTGAAGGCCTCAGATGGGTCGTCTGTGTTTAAATCCATCAAGAAGGTGTGCCAACCATTGCTGAATGGAGTGAGATGGGCTCTCCACAATGGTCAGACTATAAGATTTTGGGATGACCCATGGGTTATGGGCCTAAACATCTTCCCCCTTAACATTTGGGTTTGGCACCTCAATCAACTTTTTGTCAACTAAAATGCCCTTGCCTCCGATCAGGACATCAGTGATTGTTTTAACCAAATTTGGAATCCAGGGAGTACGGTCAAGTAGAATCTTTTAATCATCTTCATTCTTGACCTCTCCCGCTATTCTCAACCTGACTATGTGAATACTTGTGTTTTGAATATCTTGTTTCTTGCACTAGTTGGCACGATGCTGAAAGTTTCCTGCATGTCTGTGTTTCTGTAAAACCCGCCCATTCTCTTGCCAAGTGCGCCGCCATTCCCGAAAAATGATAAATTTTGACAGCAGAAGAAAAAGAGGAAAAAGGTTTGGAGTTAATTTAAAATCCTCTGAGAGGGATGAAGGCTTTTGACTAAATTCATTTGCTGCCCGATTGGGTCCAAAAAGACTATTCAAAAAATTGGGTCCTTGCCTGTGACTGGCTCCTTTTTTGACTGTGTGATGTTTAGCACACTTGGTCTTCAACATCTTCTATAGCCTTAGAATCCTTGAAAGAAGCCACTGTAAGATGAAACGGACGCCAAAATCTTAGTGTTTTCGGAGGGAGAAAGCGCCGCTGCGTGGGGCGTGTAGAGAAATTTGATGCTCTCGCTATTGGATTCTGTAATTAATATGTAAGCAAGTTGTCCAATTTGGTCGGTATAATCAGGTACATTTGGCTCTATTCCCTTATAATAGACTTATAGACCATATTTTTAATCCTATGATTGTTTTTGTTATTTTAATTGATCCTACGGTGATTAATCTATCACTGAACCGTTAAGTCAACTGGACTGTAATTGCTCCCTAATAATAATAATAGTAATAATAATAATAACTACCTAAAAACAAGGGTCCATTTATGAAAGATTATTTTTCTAAAAATAGCTGTTTTGTGGTATATAGTAATAAAAAAAATTGTGTGTGAGTATTTTGGCAGGTATACAAACACTAACAAGTTGTATACTCTACATCTTGAAATTATCATCATGTTTAAATTTTCAGTTATAAAAGCATTTATAATATTTTCGCTCACAGATTTCTACCAAAAACCAAAAAAAAAAAAAAAAACCTAAACTATGTATTATATTATTTCCTTTTTGCATGTTGAGTAGTAATTCGGATATGAAATTAATTATCTTTTCAAAAATATATACATATGAAGACTTTCTCCATGTGGGGGAAAAAAAATCCTACTTCTGACCCCAAATATTATAACAATCTCTGCATAGCGTTCAAATTCTGATCACTATTCTTTTGCAGTTTTGGTTGAGTTATTGGTTTGGATCCAATTCCTAAATTGGAGTGATTGGATAATTTGTATTCATGCATTAAATGGTATCAAATTTGTGCATGTAAGGCGTTTGTTTGAAATGCCTCAATCGGTTTTTTTTTTTTTTTTTCTTTAGCTAGGAGGAAGAGATAACCGAGCGGGACGTTTTTGCTGCCTTGTTCAAATTTGAAACTTACAAATTGTGATTATGTTTTAAAAGACATAAGGAGAATCCGTGTTGGTTTCAAGTACGAAAATGTTTGAATTTCTGCGGTAGTGTCAGACATCAAATTACAGAATAATTCAGAAGAATAACAATCCCTCAAAAACAATTTAAAAGTGAACATTTAAAATATACTCCCCTTCTGTCCTTAATATAAGACATTTTGATTTGTCTTAACTTTAACCCGATAAGTATTTTTAATTACAAAAAAAATCTTAAAAATATTTGTTAATAATTAAGAGAATACAACGAATGTGAAAATATATTTTTAAAATTTTTTTTCTCAATTAAAGATATACATGAAGTGAAACATAAAATAAATCAAAATGTCTCATATTGAAGGGTCGGAAGGAGTATTTAAGATATATCAGGATTCAGGATTGTGTTCACTTCAAGTACTAGCAGCTTGCTTCTCCATTAGATTGATATTGTCTACATTGAAAGTCTATGATCCTTTTTGCTCGATGTTTGACTCTTCTTCTTAACTCATAATTGTATTAAATGGGAAATTTGTTCTAGTATACGCAAAGTAAAATATGGCGGCCTTGATCTTTTGCGTAATGCTTTCTTTGACTAGAAGCAATTTCTTTCGAAAATTATACCATGCACATTAAGTGCATGTAGTAGGTACATGTATATTCTTATTTGGTAATTAGTATAGGAAAGGAGGATTAAACATGCAAGTCTTTATGAGATATGTGCAACTCACAGAGGATTAAACATGCAAGTTAGTATACCCGGGGGCACCGTGTACCCCTCTTATTTTTTGCATTTCTAGTCCTTATTGTACTTTTTTTTATCAATTTTTCTATATTTTGCAAGTTTAGTCGCTGTCATTTTTTCTCTCTCTTCCAAGAAAAACACTTCTAATCTTTCAACGAGCGTATCTCCCAGTCCGTGAAGAATTTGTGAACGAATTATGTATGAAATTTATAGTACTCGTCGAGATCTATCCAACAAACTCCATAGTGAATATTTTTTCGGGCTTAAAAATGACTTAATTTTGATGAGTAGAATAGAGTTGGATATCCAATTTTATAAGATAGATAACCAACTTGTTCTAAATTGGTTGTCCATTGTGTTCATGCTGATTATCCAATCAGTTTAAACTGGTTATCCATTTTGTTTGTACTGCTTATCCATTTGGTTTGGATGTCTATCCAACTTGTTTGAATGGATATCCTACTTGTTTGAAATGGATATCCAACTTGTTTGTACTGAATATTCATCCATTTGGTTTATATACTTATCCAACTTGTTTTGTAGTTGTAATCAACGGGTTTGTATACATATCCGACTTGTTTGTGCTGGATATACAACTCGCCTGTACTGGATATACAACTCGCTTGTACTGGATATCCATCCACTTCATATTGATTATCCAACTTCTTAATTCAAAATAAATTGATTATCCATCTTCTTAAACTGGATATCCAATGTGTTCATATTGATTATCCAATGCGCTAATACTGGTTATCCAACGGATTTACATGCTTATCCAAATTGTTTGAACTGGTTATCCACTGTGTTCATTCTGATTATCCAATGAGTTTTTTATCCATTGGATAATTCATTGTTCTATTCGCTACTACTGGTTATCCAATGGATTTATATGCTTATCCAAATTGTTTGAACTGGTTATCCACTATGTTCATGCTGATTATCCAACTTTTTTGTACTGGATATCCATCCATTTGGTTTGTATGCCTATCCAACTCGTGCGTATTGGTTATCCAACGGATTTACATGCCTATCCAAATTGTTTGAACTGGTTATC